AGGCGGGCATAGGGAAAGGATCAGCGGTGACCGTGCGTGGCTCCCTCCGACGTAGCAGCTGCAGAACCATCCCCCATTGCACGCGTCCACACCCGGGCAGCTGCGACATTTCGAAGCTCAGCAAATAAACCCCCAGAATGCAATCAGTCTAAGACGTCTTTGGTTTATCATCCCATCTTGTGCTTTTTTCTTTTTTTACGATGTTGCCAACTACATACAAGTTCAGATGCGGAAATCTAGTTTGGGACTGTAGGTAGGACTGGGGAGCACGCATGGCCACCACGATGCCCGTGAGCAGTGGGGGCAGAGAGTCACTGTGAGGCTGCAAGCACATCCTTCCAGAGGAAGAGGGGCAATACCTTAGAATTCTCCCATCCGGGGTCTTCCCCTCAAATCCTCCACACCTCCCAACTTCACACTATCTTTTCCCTCTTTTCCTTAACATCCTTAATACCCACTCAACTGTTTCTTTTTATGAGGCTTTAAAAAACATGTGTGCAGGGTGCCTGGGTGGCTCAGTTGGTTAAGTGTCTGCCTTCGGCTCAGGTCACGATCCTGGAGTCCCAGGATCAAGTCCACGTTGGGCTCCCTGCTCAGCGGGGAGTCTGCTCCTCGCTCTGACCCTCCCCCCGCCATGCTCTCTCTCTCTCAAATAAATAAAATCTTAAAAAAAAAAAAAAAAAGTGTGTGCATTTTCCAAATACATTTACACTGCAAGCAATGAGTTCTTCGGTAATAATTAGTGATGACTCTCTTAGGACTCTGTGCCTTCACCACACTGGCACCAATATGATGATGTAGGACACTGTGGTTTGGTCTACATGCTGCCTTCCAAATCATCTCCATACCGTACTATTACTGCCCTAGAGGATTCCTGTCTGGCCGTGTGCAGCAAGGGATGCTGTATTAAAAAGCTAAGTGAGGGGCGCCTGGGTGGCTCAATGAGTTAAGGCCTCTGCCTTCAGCTCAGGTCATGGTCCCAGGGTCCTGGGATCGAGCCCCGCATTGGGCTCTCTGCTCAGTGGGGAGCCCGCTTCCCTTCCTCTCTCTCTCTCTCTGCCTGCCTCTGCCTACTTGTGATCTCTGTCTGTCAAATAAATAAATAAAAATCTTTAAAAAAAAAAAAAAAAAGCTAAGTGATTTTATAATCAATCAAACGGGTGTGATCATTCCAAAGGAAGAGATGGCAACTTCCCAAACCTGTCCCCTTCATCAGAGGAGTCATGGAAAAGCAGTCTGCCCTCTTAATTATGGAGCTCCCCAAAACTGCCAGGCCACCTGCTCACTGACTGACCCTTGCCCCACTCTGTTCCCATAAGCCTACCCCCACGGAACAGAGACGAGCATTCTTGCAAAGCCCCTGAGTAGACCACAAATGATGTGCCACCAAAGTGGCCCCCTGTGCTTCAGTCGAGCTGATCAGCCAGAGCCAGGTTGGGCTGGACCATCAGCTCAACCCCAGGGGCCACCGGAATGACAGATCCCACAGAGCATGGCTGTGACTCCAGGGAAAGCCTGCCAAGAACATCTCTGACCTTGTCTCTCTCTCTCTCTCTGGGGTGGCTTGGCAAAGACGTACGGCTTTTTCAAGTTCCACGGACCAGGGCTCCCAGGTGTCCTGTCTGATCTCAACATTTCTCTCGTTGCTGGCCTCAGCAGGCCACAGCCTCGGCCCAGAAGGGAGGGACAGAGTCAGGTTGGAGGACCCTCTGGAGCCTACATTCATTAAGGAAGATCGGCTACAGCTTAGCAGACCAACCCCACGGCCAGGGGCCTCCCCCACTCTCTGTCCTCATGTGTGGGGATGGAAAACAGCCCCTTCATTCGCTCATTTCAGGCTTTTTCAGACCCTGACACTCAGTCTATCACTTAAAATTCCTATGCTGCCCGCTCAGGTGAAGTTTAACCTGATCCCAATTCTGCTAGCCTTCTGGGCGCTGGCCCCATTCACAGGAAGCAGCTGATCCAAACTTGCACAAATTCTCTGGGGGTGGAAATACCTGCCTCACATACCCAAAGTTCATTGCTTTGAAATTGTACGGTTGTAGAAACTCTTCCAAAAACTTAGGTAATGTCTAAGGGCTCCCTGAGACGTAAATAAAACGAAGAAGCATAAACAGAAAACAATTATTACTTGCACCTAGGGTCTCCGAAGAGCCAAGAAGTGCAGTTTGCTCAGCTTTTCAAGATAAGTGAGGGAGAACACCACCGGCCCACGCCTCTGCCCATAGTCCAAAGCAGAAGAGGCGAAATGCAACACGAGATTTACGCTTCATGCCCCATAAACGAGTAATGATCTACTCTAATTATGCATCTGCTTTAAACAGATACCAAACCTCTTTGGAGACAGCACAGACGCCACGCAACTGGGAACAGAGCCCACATTCCCCTGCACCGTACACTCGCCGCTAAGTCATTCGGGGGATATTTGATGCATCAGGATTTAATTGCTACTCAACATCGAAATAAAGTTTTATTGAGTATAGCCATGCCCATCTGTTTATTTATCATCTACGGCATTTCTGCACTAAAAGGACGGCGTGGACTTAACCGTGACGGGGACCATATGGCCCATAAGGCCTAAAATATTTCACTGTCTGGTCCTTTCCAGCAAAAGTTTGCCAGCCCCAGGCTCTACATGACCTTTAGATCCAAGGTGGCTTTGGAATGCTCCCATCTATGGACATCAAAAATCTCCTACTTGCTATGGCTCCTCTCCCACACTTTGCGGTTGAGGCTGTCCTCAGAGACACACAACACACATGCCCATTCCACTTCCCGAGGCAGTAACTGACACATTACCACCCACCTGAACCGTCTCGAACACATTCGAGAACCAAAATCCAAGCGAGGTAAAGGGCCCTGCAAACTTGTCTAGCGTGAGATCCCGTTGCTTTCCCACAGGGCCCAAGACTACCTTGCGACGAAAAGGGCCGCCCCGAGTCACTTCCTCCCTGCCTTCGGCCCTTCCTCTGCAGAGGGCACTTAGGAGGAAGTGTCCGACGTTTTGCTCACACGAACAGGATGAACACGGCAGACTAAACACCAGAAGTGTCTGCTGCTGCAGGAATTTCAGAATCTAAAGTCTTAGAGGTCCACCCGCAGCTGGTACACACTGAACGCAGACTCTTGGCGGGGTTCTTTTATCTAAAGCACAGCGCCCTCACATGGTGCCGAAGGGAAGCACAGTCTTTCCGAACGCGGGAGGACTGAGGGGAACCTTCGCACAGCGCGCACAGCTGGGATGCCATCTGTGAGAGGGCCCCGCGTTCAATTCGGTGAGGATTTGGAATCAATGTTATCCAGATTTCCACCCTCAGCTCCTTCACAGATAGCTGCTCCTCGCTGGAAACTTTACACCGAGAAGTGTAAACTCTGACCTCTACAGAAACTCACCAAACCGCAGCAAATGGGATTCAGATGTTTCCATGTACAGTACAGTGATGTGACCTAGACTTTAAACACTTTGGCAAAAACAGGAAAAATGATGTGGGCCTTCCAGTCCCTCCCAGAACATGATACAGCCTTGACCCGAGTCCTACGGTGATCTGAGCCTTTCTCACTCCTCCTTAAGCCTCTTCACCCGCAGCCCACATTCTCTGCCCCTGTTCCACATTAGCTCCTAACAGGCTGCCTGCACGGTCCATTTTCCTTGTTTAACCGAAGACGCCAATTTCTTCCAGCCCAGCAAAAGTAGATCACATTCTGATCAGGACTCAGAAAAAATCCTGCAAGGAGAGCTAATGAAAGCCTGGGAAATCCTAGGAAATGACCCCCCCAAGATCCTCTGCAGAGCTGGGAGGAAAGCAGAAGTCTTACATAAAGACTTGGACCCCCAGGCTCTCTAGCTCTGTGGCAGATTCTCTAGGACTGGTCGCATACTATGTGGGTAAGGGCTAGAGAATTCTAGACGGCGGAGCAAGATAAGGTGGAGGTGGAGGAAGCAGTTTTCTTCTGCCAGGGAAGAACAGACACAAAAGAGTATCAGAAGCCGCTCTCCCAGAGGCCAGTCATGACAGAAGGTAAGAAACAACCCGGGTGTCTCACGCTCTGAGCCATACCAGGCTCTGTTGGGGGCAGCCCATCTGCCAGCCATGTGCGCTCCCAGGGGGCAAGATGGAGAAGCTGAGAAGCATGCGGCTGGGCACCGGTGTACAGGGATCGAGTGTGAGCATAAGCAGGGCAGGGGTGCACAAGAACGTCCCCTGCCCCTCCGAGCACTGCACAGGTACTTCTAATGTGGCAGGGCAAGGTCGCCGGGGGTGGGGTAGCTATTGCCCCAGCAAGGGAGCTTCTGGGGACAGGAACAGGGCCTTATCACCAATGTAAGCACCCCCGAGACCTGGCTGAAGGTGGCTGCCAGACACATACCTGCCCGTGGTATAAAGGAACAAAGGGTCCAACACCCATTCTCTTGGTTCTCACGTTCAACTAAGAAGAGGTTAGTAGCTTGTCGGGGACCCCATCAAACTTTCCTTTTCCGGGTACAGAAAGACTCAAGAGGGACAGCAGGGAGGTGAATGCTTACTACCCTACCCCCCATATCCAAGAACAGATGAGATACACACCTAGAGGTGTTACCCGTGACACACACACATACACACCCGTGCAGATACAAGTAAATATGAGAGAAGTGCGCCTCTCCGTCTAGGGGCCTGACAAGGTTTCCTCCCCGCCGGACCTGTGCTCCCCTGGGCGGACTGCTGCGTATCCTTCTGGGCAACCCCAGAACTGCACAGACCCCGTGTACTTCAGAGCTTCCGCACAGCCAGTGGCAGGCACTGGACAGTCCGCTGCTTCCCCTCTCACCGTCTTTGCTCAGAGACACTCCGGAAGGTCCGGGCGGGAAGAGGGGAGGCTCCCTCCGGACGGCGGGAGAGCAACCCTGGAGGCTGAACTTCCCGCCCAGAAACCGCCACCCCCAGCCCAACCTGCCCTGGGGACCACCCCCGGCGCGGCGACATTTCGACGGGCAGAACCGGAGGGGGCGCGGGCAGTACCAGGCCGCCGCCGGCGCCGCAGGCGCTGAGCGAGACGAGGGAACCGGGGTGGCCGAGCACGCGGCCTGAGTAGAAGCACAGCTCGGCGGGCCGTCCGCGGCGCCCGGCCGCTCCCGCCTCCTCCACCTCGAAGCCGCGGGACAGGAACCGCAGGTCGTGGCGAAGCTGCAGGTACAGGTCGCGCCCGAAGGCCGGCAGGTGCAGCAGCAAGGCGCGCTCGCCCGGCCGGACGCGCGAGGCGGCTAGGGGCGTGCGGGGGCGCCGGCGCTTTCGGGGCCCGGGGGCGCCGGGCAGCGGCGGCAGGTGCACGTCGTCGGGACGCACCCGCCGCGGCAGCACCACCTCCACGTCGGCCGCCGCGTCGCCGACAGCTGCGGGGAGAGAGGAGACGTGTCAGCTCGGCGGGGCCCGCCCGGCCGCCCGCCCTCCCTCCGGCCGCCCGCCGCGCACCGGGTCCAGCGCCGGGACAACGCGGCCCCGAGCGGGCGCTCCCTTCCTTCCCCGCGCCGCGGCACCTCGGTGCCGGCCAGAGCCTCCGCCCGGGATCCGCGCCACCGGGAGAAGGGCTCCAGCGCGGCCGCCCGAGCACCTCCGGGGACGGCGGCGCGGCATGGGCGCCGGGAGACCCGGCGGCGGCGTGGCCGCCCGGGAGCCGCCTGGAGCCGGGTCGTCCGGCCGCGGCCCGCAGCTCCTCGGCCCCGAGCGTTGTCAGCGCTCCGCCGCCGGCCCCGGGCTTGCAGGCAGGCGGGGGCCGCCAGGACGCCTCGGGATGGCAGGATGAAGGTGGTGGCCGCGAGAGGCACGGGCGAGGAAGGGGCGGTGGGCGAGGGAGCGCTACCTGTGCCCGGGTCGAGTCCCCAAACCAGCAGCAGCAGCAAGGGCAGGACGAGAGGAGGCAGCAGGGCGCCGTCACACATGGTACTTGGGAGGAGCAGCCCCCCGGACGGTCGTGGCGGAGCAGGAGCACGCGAGGCGGCGGCGCCAGCCGGAGTGAAGCCCTCCAGCCTTTGGAAAAAGTAATTAGCGCTGCGGACAAACCCAACGTGGTAAATCCCAAGCCCCTCCTTCTCTTCGGAAAGCAGGCGGCGATTGGGCTCTCGCTTTCCCCTGCCCCGCCTCCTCATTCTCCATTGGCTAGGACGGGTCTAAACCAGGATGCGTAGTTAGGTTGTAAGCACTTTCTTACACGTGGTTTCTGGGCAGTGGCGGGGGCGGGACACCAGGTGGCGCCATGGAGACCCTGGAGCTGCGCTACCGCGGAGGCCCTATGAGGACACCTGACTGGTCTTCAGAGTTTGTGCTCCTTGTCACACTCCTCTCTGACCCTGCTGCCCAGCATCCCAAGAAGAGAGGCCAGAAATCGTCCTGGACAACCGGTTTCATTCTTAAAAGCATGTTCTCTCTACGTCTACAGTAAAACTAGTTTGGGTTGTTTGTGGCTGGACATTTTCTGGCACACCTGAGTTTGCACCTGAGGGCTGCGTACAACGCAGCAGCGTTTAGGCAAAGTCTTCGCACCTCCTGCCGCCTTTATCCTCACAGAAACCAGCAGTACAAGCGTGACCACACCCTCTTACAGACTGAGAAACTGAGGGAGAGAGAGCTGAAGGAGCTTGCTAGTTACTGGGGTGAGTTTCTATCAAAACAGGAGCTAGAAGTGGTCCTAACTTCCAGCCCAGTGCTGCTTAGGACAAACAGCAAGAAAGAGGCTCCAAGGGCAGGCAGATTTTTTGGTGGGGGGGTGGTGCTCTAGGAAACTCATACAAGGTGGCAAAGCCTAGACTTCCAGTTGAGTTCATTCTTTTCCCACAAGAATATAACTGAAGTTTGCAAGAAAGATGATTCTTTTAGCTTCGTGAGGAGCATCTTGTAGAAAACAAAACAGAATTAACCGAAGCGTAACCGTTCTTGGGTCTCTCCCTCTCCCTTCCTTGTACTGTTTTCTGTTTCTGTTTTCTCATAGCAGAGAGGTTACCACGCTCCTACTGGACTCTGCTTGAAGCCTTTCAGAATCTAAAATATATCACAGGATTCTGCGTCAGCAGAAGGAATCCAGAGGTGAAAACTGTCCAGCTTCCAGGACATTTCGTTAACCCTGGGTGTGGACTGTATCACTGGTTCTCAATAAAGCCTCCTTCTTTTACTACAGCAAACTTGCTGCTCTGGGGGTCCTCCAGAGTGTGTCTGATAGAATTTTCTTCTGCTCTGTCTACCCCTGCCCTCCACAGGGGCTGGCATCTGTCATGCACTGCTCTGGGTACTGCCACTTGCTGCTGGGTACCACACACATCCAAAAAAGCCTTGGTGCGTTTCCCTTCCTCCTTGACAGCAGCGTCAGCCAAATGCTGATGGCACAAGAAATCATGGAGAGCTTCGTGGGGCAGCTTTGTTAGCAAAAGAGCCACCTCACAGACCTGCCCCCCCGAAAGCCAGGGAGCACCAGCCACTCTGCTTCGCATGGTTTAAAGTCATCCTTGTCAACGTATCAGATGATGCCCTGATGCACAAGTCCAAAGGACCATGCAGACTGAAGCAACAGCAAGATACTGTCGCATCCCCCAGACTGTCCAAAACGGAAGTGCGAGGAAATATCAAGCATTGGAGAGAACACTCTCCTGCCCCTGGGTGGGAGTGCAGACTGGCATGGCCACTTTGAAGAACAATCGGGCAAACTGTGATCAAATCCAAAATGTACACGCTCTAAAACTCTGTGATCCCACTTCTGGTTAACGATCACAGAGAAACACGGGCGCACATTACAGAATGTTGACCCCAGGGCCTTGTTAAGAGCAGACATACTGGGGCGCCTGGGTGGCTCAGTGGGTTAATGCCTCCACCCTTTGGCTCAGGTCGATCCCAGGGTCCTGGGGTCGAGCCCCACATTGGGCTCTCTGCTCGCCAGGGAGCCTGCTTCCCCATCTCTCTCTCTGCCTGCCTCTCTGCCTACTTGTAATCTCTGTCAAATAAATAAATAAAAATCTTAAAAAAAAAAAAAGAGCAGACATACTGAAAACCTGAATGTCTATCATTAGATAAATGGCAGCTAGAAAACAAGGCATCGTTTCAATGCAGTAAGTTCATATTTACACCACAGAAGGAACTCCAAGACTGGTTGTCATTTTTTTTAATCAAATTGAGGAAGAATGCACATGATAATACTTCCATAAATGCACACAGTATTAAATCATTTGTATGGTAAAATCCTAAGGAAAAGCCTGGAAGGATACACACCGAACTTTTTTAATTGGTGTCCTTTTTATATTAAATTGCATGAAAGGATGCCATTCGGGGTCCAGGCAGGATAACTGCTACCATTCTAGGTATTTCGAGCAGGGAGAATCTAACATGGAGAATTGAGTACAAAAGTGAGGAAGAGCTAAACGGAGAAATTCAGTGATTATACGCTGCCCCTGCCCCTGCGGTGCATTCCAGCCCTAAGGGCCTCTGTTTCCTGCTGCATCACTGAAGGCGCCGTCACAGTTGGTTCTGGATCTACCAGATGTGTGAACTAGACTGGGGCTCCGTGCCCAGGGCCACACCAGCAACTCCCAACACATGTTGCACTGGATCCTTATCTCTGTTCCTTGCCATCTGATCTCCTGCCAGGGCCTCCTTTTGGCAGAATCTAACGGGAAGCCTAAGAAATGTAGGGGAGAAACATCAGGAGATCACAGCATGTAGGTCACAGGCTTTCAGCCTCAACTATGAAAAGCAGCCCTTAGAAGTGAGCATGTGGAGCCAAGAGACAGACCTTCTAAAGGTCTTAATCTGGTCTAGATGAATCTGAATTCCCTTTACCTCTCACCATTGTATTTCAGCCTCCCTTCCAAAATGATCTGATGTTTCAGTGCAGTCCCTATCAAAATTCTGTTGGCATTTTGCACAGAAATACCAAAAAACCCAAAAGTCATATGGAAACACAGAAGACCCCAAGAAGCCAAAGCAATCTTGAGAAAGAAGAACAAAGATGGAGATATCCCACTGCCTGGTTTCAAGCCCTATTGCAAAGTTGTAATATAGTGATCGGAACAGTAGGGTATTGGCATTAAAAACAGACGCATAGACCAATGGAACAGAATCCAAATCCCAGAAATAAACCCAGGTGTATATGGTCAACTAATATTTGACAAGGCAGCCAAGAATACTCAGAAAGAAGGACAGTCTCTTCAATGAATGGTGATAGGAAAACTGGATATTCACATGCAAAAGAATGAAATTAGACCCCTGTCTAACACCACTCACAGAAATCAACTTGAGTTGGGTTAAAGACTTAACTGTAAACCTTGAAGCCATAAAACTCAAAGAAGAAAGCATAGGGAACAGCTCCTTGGCACTGTTCTCGGCAATAATGTTTTAGGATGACATCAAAAGCATAGACAGCAAAATGAAGAATCAACAAGTGGGACTACATCACTTTCTGTGCAGCAAAGCAACCATGAACAAAACAGAAAGGCAACTCCAGAATGGGAGAAAATATCTGCAAACGATATATCTAAGAAGGGATTGATATCCAAAACACATAGGGAAATCTTACAACTTAATAAAAAAAAAAAAATCTGGGGCACCTGGGTGGCTCAGTAGTTTAAGCACTCAACTCCTGGTTAGGGCTCAGGTCATGATCTCAGGGTCACGAGATCAAATCCTGTGTCAGGTTCCACACTCAGTGCGGAGTCAGCTTGGGAGTCTCTCCCTCTCTGTGCCCTCTTGCCCCCAACCCCCGCTCAAGCATGTGCACTCTCTCTATATCTCTCTCAAATAAATAAAATATTTTAAAATAATAATAATAATAATCCAATTTAAAAATGGGCAAAGAGGCCAAATAGACATTCTTCCAAGGAAGACATAGAAATGGTCAACAGGTGCATGAAAAGACACTCAGCATCACTCATCATCAGGGAAAAGCAAAGGAGAACCACAATGAGATACCACCTCACACCTGCTGGGATAGGGGTTATCAAAAGGACAAGAGATCACAAGCGCTGGTGAGGATGTGGAGGAAGGGGAACCCCTGTGTGCTGTCAGAGGGGGGTTAAACTGGTTCAGTCACTAAGGAAAACAGTGTGCGGGTTCCTCAAAAATTTTAAAATAGAGCTACCCTACAATCCAGCAATTCTGCTTCCGCACAGACGTCCGAAAGAAGACATGACACAAGGTGAAATAAGTCAATCACAAAAAGACAAATAATGAAAGACAAATAAGTCACACACACAAAAAATACTATACAATTCCACATAGGTGAGGTACCTAGAACAGTCAAATTCATACACACATGAGGTAGAATGGTGATTCCCATGGGCTGGGGAAGGGGAAATGAGAATTCGTTTAATGCGTACAAAGTTTCCGTTTGGAAAGATGAAAAAGTCCTGGAGATGGAGAGTGGTCATGGTTGCACAACAGCGTGAATGTACTTAATACCACTGAACTGTATACCAAAAATGACTAAAATGGTAAGTTTTATGTTATGTGTATTTTCCCACAATAAAGGAATGCTTAAAAAAAAGAAAGAAATCGTTACCATTAGCTTTGGTCTCAATTCATCTTAACACACACAAATAGCCTTGTCTTAATTTTGTGGAAGGGGGGCTTAATCCCACTTCACGGATGGAGCAAAGGGTTCCGTGTGTGGTTAAAATCAGACCGGTAAGCAGACAAAAACCCTACAGGTGACAGTGATGATCTGAAAGGGACATAAGCCATCCTCTGGGTTTGGTGGTCAAAACAATTTGTTGTGCTCATAGTTGACAAAACTCAACTTTTCAGCTCATCCACTTGTTTTTTGCGAACTCTATTCCAGTGGGCAGTGGTCTTTTCTGATCATGTTGTCCAGCAACGGACCCCCAGGAGGTCGGGTACATTGCTTCTCTTGGCCTCTCTCTTCCGACACTTCACAGCGACACCCGGGTTTGGATGCTGGTGG